AAGGAATGTACATAATATCAGGCATGGAACTATTCAGATTCTGGGGAATCATACATGAAAGTCAACACTTGTTAGTTACATGGGCGTATACCGGTCATTAAAAATATGAATGACAATTAACGGCTGATTGGCCAGCTCAGCCAATGAGCCAACATGACGTCATGTTCTATGAGGAAATAGCAAGCATTTTTAAAACTGTTTGAGATACAAGTTTGAGGTGGGGTTTTTTAAGTATATTTTTTTTCTTTCTCAAATGTATGCCTTGGCCACATATGAGTATAGGATGAGTCAACAACATTACTTTGGTATGAGTTAACTGAATATGAATTATTAAAAGTTAGATTTTCACTGGACAGTTTCTTTAACTGCTGTCTCTGTTGTTTCCCTCAGGTTGTGGTGAGGGTTTGTAACATATTGTCTCTGTTGTCTCCCATCAGGTTGGGGTGAGGGTTTGTAACATATTGTCTCTGTCTCCCATCAGGTTGTGGTGAGGGTTTGTAACATATTGTCTCTGTTGTCTCCATCATGTTGGGGTGAGGGGTTTGTAACATATTGTCTCTGTTGTCTCCCATCAGGTTGGGGTGAGGGTTTGTAACATATTGTCTCTGTTGTCTCCCTCAGGTTGTGGTGAGGGTTTGTAACATATTGTCTCTGTCTCCCATCAGGTTGTGGTGAGGGTTTGTAACATATTGTCTCTGTTGTCTCCCATCAGGTTGGGGTGAGGGGTTTGTAACATATTGTCTCTGTTGTCTCCATCAGGTTGGGGTGAGGGTTTGTAACATATTGTCTCTGTTGTCTCCCATCAGGTTGGGGTGAGGGTTTGTAACATATTGTCTCTGTCTCCCATCAGGTTGTGGTGAGGGTTTGTAACATATTGTCTCTGTTGTCTCCCATCAGGTTGGGGTGAGGGTTTGTAACATATTGTCTCTGTTGTCTCCCATCAGGTTGGGGTGAGGGTTTGTAACATATTGTCTCTGTCTCCCATCAGGTTGGGGTGAGGGTTTGTAACATATTGTCTCTGTCTCCCATCAGGTTGGGGTGAGGGGTTTGTAACATATTGTCTCTGTCTCCCATCAGGTTGTGGTGAGGGTTTGTAACATATTGTCTCTGTCTCCCATCAGGTTGGGGTGAGGGGTTTGTAACATATTGTCTCTGTCTCCCATCAGGTTGTGGTGAGGGTTTGTAACATATTGTCTCTGTCTCCCATCAGGTTGGGGTGAGGGGTTTGTAACATATTGTCTCTGTTGTCTCCCTCAGGTTGTGGTGAGGGTTTGTAACATATTGTCTCTGTCTCCCATCAGGTTGGGGTGAGGGGTTTGTAACATATTGTCTCTGTCTCCCATCAGGTTGTGGTGAGGGTTTGTAACATATTGTGTCTGTTGTCTCCCATCAGGTTGGGGTGAGGGTTTGTAACATATTGTCTCTGTTGTCTCCCATCAGGTTGGGGTGAGGGTTTGTAACATATTGTCTCTGTCTCCCATCAGGTTGGGGTGAGGGGTTTGTAACCTGTTGTGTCTGTCTCCCATCAGGTTGGGGTGAGGGGTTTGTAACATATTGTCTCTGTTGTCTCCCTCAGGTTGGGGTGAGGGTTTGTAACATATTGTCTCTGTCTCCCATCAGGTTGGGGTGAGGGGTTTGTAACATATTGTCTCTGTCTCCCTCAGGTTGGGGTGAGGGGTTTGTAACCTGTTGTCTCTGTCTCCCATCAGGTTGGGGTGAGGGGTCGCCCCTCCACTACTCAGAGGGCCGCTCCAACCGCCTGCTGTCCCTGGAAAAGATGTTTGGTCGTCCTGCTAAAGACTCCCAGTGTCACCACATGTTGAAACACCTCCACCACGGGGCCCGCATCACCATCCAGATGCCCCCCAACATAGAGGGGCACTGGGTCTCTACCAGGTACGTTAGTCCTAGCTCCAACCCTAACCCCACATGCTGAAACACCTCCACCACGGGGCCCGCATCACCATCCAGATGCCCCCCAACATAGAGGGGCACTGGGTCTCTATCAGGTACGTTAGTCCTAGCTCCAACCCTAACCCCACATGCTGAAACACCTCCCTCACGGGGCTAGGATCACCGTCCAGATGCCCTCGAACATAGAGGGGTACTGGGTCCACCAGGTACGCCTAACCCTAGCTCCAATCCTAACCTCAACACAACAGAGTGACACTGGGGCCGGGATTCAATCAAAGGCGCATTGTAGACAAGCACGCTGCTCTTGACTTTTTAGGTAACTTATGGTTGAGCCGACATCGTAGCTTTTACATTTACATTTACATTGACGTCATTTAGCAGACGCTCTTATCCAGAGCCACTTACAAATTGGTGCATTCACCTTATGACAGCCAGTGGGACAACCACTTTACAATTTTTATTTTTATATATTTTTCTAATTTTAGAATTCTTTTATTTTTAGAGTATATTTTTAATTTTCATTTGTTTTATATATATATATATATATATCAACATTTTTTTTTTGTGGGGGTGAGGTGGGGGAGGGGGGGTAGAAGGATTACTGTTACCGTGAATACGGAAAAATTGCCTGCCTGTAGTGCAGTGCTCAGTGCTGCAACACGCCTTTAAATGAATCCCGGCCTCCACCAGGTACGCTCTCTGGCTGGGGGGAGACACTCACAAATACAGTGTGTGAAAGAGTCAGTATGATGTTTACTTTGAGAAACCATGCAACTCAAACTCCCCTCCACATCCACCTCTCTCTCCGACGGCCAGCTGTGAGGTGCGTCCTGGCCCAGAGTTCCTGACGCGGTCGTACCGGTTCTTCCCCAACAACACGTTCCAGGCCAACCAGTTCTACTACGGGGACAACCACTGCACCACCCCCACCTACACCCTGGTAGTCCGGGGACGGCTGAGGCTTAGACAGGTCTCCTGGATCATCAGAGGAGGGACAGAGGCTGACTACCAGCTCCACCACACACAGGTAGTGTGTGTGTGAGTGTGTGTGTGTGTGTGTGTGTAGAAGCAGACTTCCAACTGCACCCCACACACAGGTTTGGTTTACTTTCAATTGTAATAATAATGAGTCCATTAGGGGTAATATTCCTGGGTTCATACAAAACTAAATATACAATAGAAGCCAACATGACACATTCCAGTAAGACTTCTTACTCCTCAACTAGATGAATTTGCTAATGTCTTGAAGCCCAGGTCAGTCAGCGTGTGTTTATCCCACTACCCAGGTGGTCTGTCACAGTGCGGCCGTGGCCAAGGACCTGAGCCAGCGGTTAAACCAGAGCTGTCGCGGGAGTATTAAAGCACCCTGGGAACCCAACATCAGCTATGAGCTGTGGAACGAGGAGGGCTGTGACCATTCCAGAGAAATCCACTTCTCCATGCACGAGCTACAGGTTAGTGAGGAGGGCTAGACACCAGAGGGGTTGACGGTTCGAATCCCTTGCCCGACAGGAAAAAAATATTAAATGGACTGGCAACCAGAGGGTTGCTGGCATCGATATCAACCAGTAGCCCTTGAAACAAGGCACTGAAACCTGCACTGCGGCTTTCTGTTAGACATTAGTGTACGTTGGACCACAGAATAGAACACTTGTTGAATGATATGTCTATGCATTGGATTAATAAACGTATTTCCTCTTGCAGCTGCTGCGTGTGGTGAAACAGTACCCTCATCATAACCTGGACCACCTGGTTGAAGAGCTGTTCCTGGGAGACATCCACACTGAGGTGGCCCAGAGGATGTACTACAGACCTTCTAGTTACCAGGCCGCGCTGCAGAGTGCCAAGGTCAGTCTGCTGCGCTGGACGTTGGGTGGGCCGAAAGGTTGGACAGATTTAAGACGTTAGGTTGAAGACGGTTCTAATGTTGTCTGTGTCTAGTTTAGATCGTTTAGATAGTAAAGCCTTCCTTCTTTGGGACCTGGTCACTTTCCTTCCTTTTTTATCAAAGTTATGACAACTTACTGCCTCCCAGAACATACTGATACTATGACATACTGATACTATGACATACTGATACTATGACATACTGATACTATGACATACTGATACTATGACATACTGATACTATGACATACTGATACTATGACATACTGATACGTTGACATACTGATACTATGACATACTGATACTATGACATACTGATACTATGACATACTGATACTATGACATACTGATACTATGACATACTGATACTATGACATACTGATACTATGACATACTGATACGTTGACATACTGATACTATGACATACTGATACTATGACATACTGATACTATGACATACTATGACATACTGATACTATGACATACTGATACTATGACATACTGATATGTTGACATACTGATACTATGACATACTGATACGTTGACATACTGATACTATGACATACTGATACTATGACATACTATGACATACTGATACTATGACATACTGATACTATGACATACTATGACATACTGATACTATGACATACTGATACTATGACATACTGATACGTTGACATACTGATACTATGACATACTGATACTATGACATACTGATACTATGACATACTATGACATACTGATACTATGACATACTGATACTATGACATACTGATATGTTGACATACTGATACTATGACATACTGATACGTTGACATACTGATACTATGACATACTGATACTATGACCTCATACTATGACATACTGATACTATGACATACTGATACTATGACATACTATGACATACTGATACTATGACATACTGATACTATGACATACTGATACTATGACATACTATGACATACTGATACGTTGACATACTGATACTATGACATACTGATACTATGACATACTGATACTATGACATACTATGACATACTGATACTATGACATACTATGACATACTGATACTATGACATACTGATACGTTGACATACTGATACTATGACATACTGATACTATGACATACTATGACATACTGATACTATGACATACTGATACGTTGACATACTGATACTATGACATACTGATACGTTGACATACTGATACTATGACATACTGATACTATGACATACTGATACTATGACATACTATGACATACTGATACTATGACATACTGATACTATGACATACTGATATGTTGACATACTGATACTATGACATACTATGACATACTGATACTATGACATACTGATACGTTGACATACTGATACTATGACATACTGATACTATGACATACTATGACATACTGATACTATAACATACTGATACTATGACATACTGATACTATGACATACTATGACATACTGATACTATGACATACTGATACTATGACATACTGATACTATGACATACTATGACATACTGATACGTTGACATACTGATACTATGACATACTGATACTATGACATACTGATACTATGACATACTATGACATACTGATACTATGACATACTGATACTATGACATACTATGACATACTGATACTATGACATACTGATACGTTGACATACTGATACTATGACATACTGATACTATGACATACTGATACTATGACATACTGATACGTTGACATACTGATACTATGACACACTGATACTATGACATACTGATACTATGACATACTGATACTATGACATACTATGACATACTGATACTATGACATACTGATACTATGACATACTGATACTATGACATACTGATACTATGACATACTATGACATACTGATACTATGACATACTGATACTATGACATACTATGACATACTGATACTATGACATACTGATACTATGACATACTGATACCATGTACAGTTGTTTTCCACTTCTTTTAATATCAAGACCGAGCCATTTTAATGCCTGACCAATGCTCTTCAGGAGGACGTGATTTCCACTGCTTCTAGTTGAACAGCAGTCGTCCCGCTCCGTGAAACCTTATAGTCATGATGTTAAACCCTTCAGAGATTAAACCCTGAGATCCTCTGTGAGTGGCCTTTCTAAACGAACATTACATCTGTACCACGCTGACCACGCTGACCCAGCTCCGTCCCAAATGGCACCCTATGGGTCTCTGTAGCTCAATTGGTGGCATATTATTTATGGGCCCTGGTCAACAGTAGTGCAGTATGTAGGGTACAGGGTGCCATTTGGGACACACAGAGTGCTAAGGGTGAGGATCCCTGACAACACTATCTACACCGTGTTGTTCTAACGACCAGCGCTGCAGAGTTAAGCTCCTCAGGGCCAGAGAGGAGAGAAAACGGGGGAACGTGAAACCTGGGGAACATCCCAAATTGGCACCCTATTCCCTATATAGTGCACTACTTTTGGGCAAAAGCCTATGGGCCCTGATGAAAAGAAGTACACTGTATAGGGAATAGGGTTCCATTTGGAACGTGAAACCTGGTGCTCCTCCTATCTCTGGTAGTGATCAACATGTGGCATTCCTAGAATTTGGAATCATGCAGCCTTTATGAATAATTCCGGACCGAATATTCCAGCTCTGATTTCATGCTTGCCTTCCACATCAGAAGAGATGCACAGTTTGAACTCTGTGTCTTTCCACCCCTGTACGTTTCTCTCCGTCCCCCTGCTCACTCTTTTTCTGTGTCTCTCTCTTTTGACCCCGCAGTAGTTCCAGTATATCTTATCTACCATAATCAAAGCACACTAGCAGCATTCGCATCTTCCATGAGCTCTAATCAAATACAGCCAGCTTGGGGTCATCAAAACCATTTCCCTTGTTCAATGGTTCACCAGCTATTCAGGCATTCTATTCAGGCATTCTAATCAGGCATTCTTTAGCTGTGGCCAGTGGACAAGTGATAACTCAGTGAAAAGTTTCTAAATGATCAACATACGATAGCTAGTGGATAGTATCTAGAAGTGAAACAGCTCAACACATGCAGACTATCCTTTTAGAAAACACCATCTCTCTCTGTACCCTGAGGATTACAGTGGATAGTATGTTGAAGTGAACCTGGGTCTCCGACGTGCCACAAGGCTTTGTTAGCCAGCTGAGCTAAATCCCAGATAATATATTTATGTGAAATAGCTTTAGACCTGCCCTCAGCTCAGTCCCACCAGTTAACTTACAATCATCAACCGTCTTTTATTTTATATAAAACACCAGTTACAATCATCAACCGTCTTTTATTTTATATAAAACACCAGTTACAATCATCAACCGTCTTTTATTTTATATAAAACACCAGTTACAACCATCAGCTCAGTAGCCAGTCCATCCAGTGATGTTATAATGGTTTCTTCTTTAGGATGGTTTATTGCTATGGTAACTATCCGATCCATTCATGTTGAGTGGGTATAGTTGGGGCTGGTGACAGTCCAGAGGGTTGGCAATGCCAGCCTGTTAGTCTGTGGTTATTGGGCGGACCTCATTTAGTGACGCAATAAGAGCGAGGCAGCAGACAGTTAATACCCATTTATACATTTTTCTCTCCATCATTTCCTACTTTCTTAATGCTGTCCAGATAAAGCTTTTTTTTTTTTACCCCCATATGTGGAGTTGTGGTGCTCAATAGTGATTAAACACCATAATGGAGAACCAGGGTGGTGGGGGGTACTGGAGAACCAGGGTGTTGGGGGGTACTGGAGGACCAGGGTGGTGTGGGGTACTGGAGGACCAGGGTGTTGGGGGGGGGGGGGGGGGGGGGGGGGTACTGGAGGACCAGGGTGTTGAGGGGTACTGGAGGACCAGGGTGTTGGGGGGTACTGGAGGACCAGGGTGGTGGGGGGTACTGGAGGACCAGGGTGTTGTGGGGGGGGGGGGGGGGGGGGGGGGGGGGGGTACTGGCGGACCAGGGTGTTGAGGGTACTGGAGGACCAGGGTGGTGGGGGGGGGGTACTGGAGGACCAGGGTGGTGGGGGGGGGGGGGGGGGGGGGGGGTACTGGAGGACCAGGGTGTTGGGGGGTCTGGAGAAACCAGGGTGTTGGGTTACGGAGGCCAGGGTGTTGAAGGGTAGGTACTGGAGGCCTAAGGTTGGTGGTGGTGGTCTGGAGACAGGGTTTGGGGTGTTGGGGGGGGTACTGGGAGGAACAGGTGGTGGGGGGTACGGAGACCAGGGGTGGTGGGGGGGGGTAATGGAGGACCAGGGTGGTGGGGGGGGTACTGGAGGGACCAGGGGTTGTGGAGGTACTGGAGGACCGGGGGTGTGGAGGGGGGGGTAGGAGGCCAGTGGTGTTGGGGGGGGTACTGGAGGACCAGGGTGTGTGGGGGGGTACTGGAGGACAGGGTGTTGGGGGGTACGGAGGGTACTGGAGGACAGGGTGGTGTTGGGGGGGGGGTACGGGAGAACCAGGGTTGTGGGGGGGGGTACTGGAGGACAGGGTGTGGGGGGGGGGGGGGGGGGGGGGGTAGGGGGTACTGGAGGACCAGGGTGGTGGGGGGGGGGGGGGTGACGGGAGGGACCAGGGTGGTGGGGGTTCTGGAGGACAGGGTGTTGGGGGGGGTACTGGAGGACAGGGTGTTGGGGGTACTGGAGGACCAGGGGTGTTGGGGGGGGGTACTGGAGGACCAGGGTGGTGGGGGGGGGGGGGGGGGGGTGGTTACTGGAGAACCAGGTGTTGGGGGTACTGGAGGGACCAGGGTGTGAGGGGGGTATGGAGGACCAGGGTGTTGGGGGGGGGGGTACTGGAGGACCAGGGTGGTGGGGGGTACTGGAGGACCAGGGTGTTGAGGTACTGGAGGGCCAAGGGTGTTGGGGGGTACTGGAGGACCAGGGTGTTGAGGTTACTGGAGGACCAGGGTGTTGGGGGGGGGTACTGGAGGACCAGGTGGTGGTGGGGGGACTGGAGGACCAGGGTGTTGGGGGGTATGA